CCCCCCCCCTGTAATATGCTAAATCTGTGTGTTATCCCCCTCTAATTTAAAAAATGCGCCAAACCCCCTTCTATTGTACTTTGGCATGCGCGAAATACCTTAAACCGTCTAAGATGACGGGAATAGTGTTCACGCGCGTGCTGTGCGGCTTGTTCTTCATGTTTTCACTCCAAAGTCGCAGACTTTACCTTTTTACCCTTAAAATCACCCATTTAAATGTTGTGGCTGCGTCTTCTTCCCCAAATTGAGAAACACTCTTACCCTAACAATCGCGCGCGCAGGTACTTCTTCTTCATTTTTTTTCTTTTCTTTTGGCCGAATTGCACAACATTTTTTTTTCCTTTTCTTTCAGCCGAAAATTGCGCAGCAGCAACACCTGCTTGTATCATCTTCTTGTTTTTTTTTCTTTCTTTCGGTCGAAATGCAGCAAACAGGTTTTGAATTTTTTTTTTTTTTTTTTTTTTGTTGCATGTTGAAAATGTCTACTTCCGAGAAATCAAATATGTCAAAGAATGAGAGTTTGGATCTAAGGTATAAGCACCCTAAGTGTTGTTGCAACACATTTGCTCACATTAGGGTCGTTGGTCCTACAAAAGAAATGGCTGGCAAACAATTTTGCAATTTTCCGTACAACAAATGTCGTTTCTTTGCTTGGTTTAAACTTGCCTCAGTGAATTGGGTGAAGTCAAATGAAACCCTTGAAGATGAAGTTTGTTGTGAAGATGATGATGATGATGAAGTTCAGTCAACCAGAGCAAAGCTAACAAATGAAAATGTAGAAGTCGCAACAATGCTGAAGGAGATGCAGTCAAAGATGGAGAAAATTGAGAAAAAATTCAGCAATGGATTGTTTTTTCTTGTTATTGTAATCCTTTTGGTTGTTATTGTTCTCAAGTAATTTTAGATGATAAGTAATGTAATCCTTTTGGACAATGTATGCCTTTATTATCAATGAAATGCGGTAATTTATTCCAGCCACTCACAACAAACTATCAACCTTCCAGCCAAAATAAGAAAACTCACAACAAATTGTAACACTAGATCAAACCTCAACTACTTTCTTCAAACTAAGCTCCCCAAACTTAAACTGTTGCTTGTCCCCAAGCAAACTTAGAACTATAAGCACATAAATGGATAAGAAAACAAGTACGTGGAACTTTACTCAGGCCTCACAAATCTCACATAAGTGCATAATTCAAACAACTCAAATTAATTTATTCGGACTTGAGACGAAATTATTCTAAGAACGGAAACACATCAAGTATCAATTCAAATGACCACCATAGTTTGTCAATCTCTATAACGAATGCACCGATCAATGAAACTAATGACACCCCTCTCTTTGCTAACAAGTCTAGTTTCTTTCTGTTTCTAGCCAAAGTCTGAATGTCTCATTTTTCAAACTCCTTTTTTTCTCTCTTTTTTTTCTTTCAAGTAGGGAACGACAACTCTGTCACAACCCGCGGGTTTTAACCTTTCGTGCTCGTCTAGATACGGAATTTATTGGATTTGTACACTAAAGCCCCCACGGATTGCAGCTGTTGCAGCCCATGACATTTTTTTCAACTCCACCAATTATTCCTCCATCCTCATTATTGTTTTTTTCGACTATGAGACATAGAAACCCCAACTTTCAACTTCAAGTCTCTAAACTTAATCAACATTGATTAAAACAATCACAAGCACATCTCAACAATACAAATCGCCTCAAAACCAACTCACCACAAATGAATCACAAAAATATCAACCATCATGCATTTGTCCCCAAAATAAAAACACCTTAAGAATTTAACCAAATAAAATTAACTCAAGCCATTTAAACTAGCACAATAAATCTAAACCGACTCTCATGTCATCATCGCAAAATTCCACATACATGCAATCTCAAGTTCACACAAGACTAACATATATCATGCAATTAATCTAAGACTCAAACTCTAATGGGTAAAAATACAACGACATATCAAACATGAATGTTCACCAAGAAATACCTCCCCAAACTTAGAGCTTGCATATATCATCGACTTACACAAATGGAGTACACAAATGGAGTCCCAATTACAGTAAAATAAACCCACAAAAAGAAAAGAAAAGAAAAGAAAAAAAAAAGATTCGAATGAAAAATGGAATAATGAATGGCTACAAACTCCTTTGAAAAGGGAATAATCTTCTATTCCTTGGAACCGGACTACAACTGCACCAAGCATCACTCTTTATCTACAGCTCCCCAAACTCTTCTGATCCCATTCTTTCAAGTACATGATAATGTTTCTTGTCCTCATAAAACAGGAAATATAAATTAAATTTGGATAAACCTAGTTGATGCATGCTCGTTCACGCGACTAAACCATGGTATGCTCTCATGTGATTGCTCAAAGCGTGAAAACTTATACACAGTATATGATGGATTGGTTTTTTATTGCCAAATGACGTGCAGAAGTTTACCAGAGTCCAAAAAGAGTGGGAAATTATCGCAAGAGATGGCAGAGTTCTCCTGTAAGAGGGAAAATCATTTTCTCACGAAAGGTTTTTGGCACAGTAGCAAACGCTGGTCACTGCCATTCTGAAGATCAATCATCCGGACTTCCCATCTGAGCTGTGTAACGTGCGTACGTGCTATTTCTAAGGGACCAACCTTATCGGATATGATAACCCATCCCTGTTAAGAAGCCATTCTCAAACATATCAATTCTGTACATGATTGCAATAAAAGGAAATCATTTAGACAGATGTTAAGTCCAATTACTTAAAAGGACATGAGGGAAACTTTTAACAATCCTTCAGAATGATATACTACTCCTTAAACTTATAGTGTTAAACTTGCAAAAACCGACTTTTAAAGAACACAGCAACAAAGTCACGAGGGTTCTATTTTTTTCTCCTC